TTGGAGGTTGCTGTGAGCTGTGATGCCACGGCACTCTACCCAGGGGGATAGCTTGAGGCTCTGTCTCAAAAAAAAAAAAGAAAGAAAGAAAGAAAATGGGGGTCCACCTGTGCATGTACTCCCACCCAGGCTGGTATCTGTTCAAGGAGGAGCCCACCATGGGAGGACACTGAAGGTTCACAGGGACCTAGGGACCTCAGGAGCCCCCCCTTAAGATAGCTAAGACAACCCTGTTCTCCCTTGGTTCTCAAGGGCTCTCTCCAAGGAAGCAACACCCCATTCGTCTGCTGGGTACAGAGATCCCCTTTCTCAGCCTGCAGCCTACTACTCCTATCTCTGCCTCCCATGAAGAAAAGCCACTTTAGGGTGTATCCCTTCCTCCTCGGGGAAGCTTCCATCGATCAGAAATAAATATGTTCTCATTAGTCCCCACAGCCAACTAACATGCTATGAAATTCAGGACAAGAAGCATTAGCACCTCTTATCATAGAATAACCCTGTACACTGATACAGAAAACTCCTCCCTAGTATTTTCATTTCCAAGACCAATTCAACCTCCTGTATTATTGTCAGAAAGACTTCAGAACTGAATTAGTGAAAGCCTAACGGTCTTAGACCTGCCCCAGACATATGGCCACCAGCTGGCTTGTGAGTGACCAGAACCCAGAACTGCCAACTTTGTCCAGGCATTCCATGTCATGATGTGCCTGGTGGGGCACAGGGGCCCCTTGCCATCTGCGTGCAGCTCTGCCTGCATGCACATTCTTTCTGGGATCATGCTCCGTGCTGTTCCTGGCTCCAGGATTTTAGGAACCAATTTTTGATTCTGTGGGGTCCTGCCTGACCCACAGAAAGTAGAAGAGGTGCATGGTTAGATTTGGGTGCCAGCAAGAATTCCTGGTCCCTCGGTGGGGGGAACCTACATACTGGTAAGTCTTGATTCCTTTACCTACATCTCATTTCCCCAATGGCAGGAACTTGTTTTACAAAGCATCTTTTTGCTTTGCCAATTTGCATGTCCTCTGAGCAGCAAGGTATGTATGTGTCATATGAGATACATCTGTACAATTTTAATCTGCTGGGCAATATTTAAGCACCTTCTATATATAAAACATTAACTTAATCTTACTGAGTTTAATCTTATTTGCTTCTTTAAAACAAGTATGACTCATATGTCCTCTGTATAGATGAAACTGAGACCACAGGCATTGAAGCCCTTACCCAATAATGTCAAAGAGCCCATAGCTGGCTTAGGCCATGTGACTGCAGAACCACAAAGGAGACTACTCCATTGGGCCCCCAGGGCTCAATCCCCAGGAAGCAGGGTTCTGACCTCTGAGCAGGGTTCTATGCTCTCACTATTCAAAGTGCTATCCAAGGACTAGCAGCATCAGTATCACATGGAAGCTTGTCAGAAATGCAGGCCTTCAGACCCCAGCCCAGCCACAATCAGACTCTGCATTTTAACAAGACAGCCATGTGATTCATTAGCACATTACAGTTTGAGAGGCGCTGGTCTATACCACCTCATAAAATTTCCTCTCATTAGCTAGCTGTGGTACAAGCCCATAATCCCAGCTACTTGGGAGGCTGAGGCAGAAGGATCGCTTGAGTCTGGGAGTTCAAGGTTGCAGTGAGCTGTGATCATATCACTGTTGTCCAGCATGGGCAACAGAGCAAGATCTTGTCTCTAAAAGAGTAAAAAAAGGCTTGGTGCCCATAGCACAGTGGTAACCACCTAGGATTATTAACAGTCTTGAAATGAGGAAACAGGCACAGGAAATTTTGGTTAACAAGTCATTCCAGGGATAGGCTAGTGGTAACCAAGGCATCATGGTGGGTTCAAACCTGGCCCGGGACCAACTAAACAACAATGACAACTGCAACAAAAAATAGCCAAGCATTGGGCAGGCGCCTATAGTCCTAGCTACTTGGGAGGCTAAGGCAAGAGAATCACTTGAGCCCAAGAGTTTGAGGTTGCTGTGAGTTGTGACGCCATGGCATTCTACTGAGGGTGACATAGCAAGACTCTGTCTTAAAATAAATAAATACATACATAAATAAACAAAACATTCTTAAAAACTGCTTCTCAACCAGTGCTTCTCAGCATAAGCTACATATTAAATCACTTGGTTCTTTGTCCCACACTTTCTTCCCTCCCTTGTGGTTCTGATTTAAACAGTCTGGGGTATAGCATCAACATCAGGACTTAAAAAAATGATCTAGTAATTATAATATGCAAAACTGCAAACCACTGCAACTGCTAAGCCAAATAATCCTGACCCTGAGTCTTCTACTCCTGGCTCCTTCCCACTATGAAGAAGCCCACAGGGGTTCCCAAGTTCAGTGGTTCTCCCAGAGCGAGGCATTTTTCCCTTCAGCAGTGGTTGAGGCTTCTCTTTTCCATGGGCCCCACACTTCTCTGATGATGATAGTGATGATGATAATGATTATGACGATGCTGCTGATGGTGGTGGTAATGACGATGATTGGGATGGTGATGACGGTGGTAACAATACTGAACTGAATAGACTCTTTTTCTGACCTCCTGTAACATTTCTGACATTCTCAAAAGATACTCTTTTCCTGGTGTGGGATAAGAGGGCTGAATCGTCCCAGGGTCAGCAGGGTGATGGTTCCCAACGCTGAGAGTTTACCAGGACCTTCACGCTGTTGTGTGTGCCCACTCCTGGGTCCTGGACAGAAAGTCAAGTATGTGCATCTGTGTAAACACATTTACATTCATTCTCTTCCATGGCGTTTACATGCTCCTGCCAAGCTTCCACGAACTGCTAAACAACTTGGAGTTTGAGGGTGATGGCTTCTTGCCCTGTGATCTTCCTTCCCAAGCTAAAAATAACTTCTCTGACAGAAAGTCTCTCAATGAAACAAGCTACTCCATTGGGCCCCCAGGGCTCGATCCCCAGGAAGCAGCTGTGCTATTGGGCCCAAATCTCTGGGAGGCATGGGCAGAGAGGCATGAGAAGCCTCCTACAGCACTCAGGTCAATCCTGTGAAATCCAGTCTGGTTTTGTCCCTCCCCCTCTAGCTTCTAGCTGAAGCCCCCCCCACCCCCCGCCATTGCCCCTGCAGCAGAAACTATGGGGAGGCCATGGAGGATCCAGGCACCCTGGAAGGGGTGAGTCTGCAGTAAGATGAATCTTGGTCTATCCCAGGACATGAAGACACTGTATGTGCTGCTGCCAAGACACCAGCACCCAGGCCCCAGCCAGATTGGGTACTGACATCAGGGCACATGAATAGCAGGTCCCCTGCTCAGCCCAGAGATCATGGGAAGGCTCAAGTGCCCAACAGACTGGTGCCCAGCCCCACTCACACCCCAAGCAGAGCGCAACACAAACCAGTCCTGCTTACCCCCATTAGCCCCTCCACTGCCAGCCTCCTGGAGCTCCCCCAGCCCCACAGCCACAGGTGTAGCCCCTCTCTCCTCACTCTACCACCAACAAGACACTCTGACTTCTTCTTCAGTTCCTGTCTCGTTCCAAAGCACTTTCACGTGAACTCAGAGAATTGTGGAGCTGCCAAGGGCCTTGGTGAGTATAACTGTAAAGGAGGAAACTCCAGCCAGGAAGCCTTAGGATTTTGCCCAACATCAAAGCCAGGTTAGGACAAAGCCCAAGTACATGGCCCTCAGTTTAGGTTCTTTCTGCTCCCAAGTAGTTTACTAACCATGTCTCACAAAGTGCTAGGGGTCTACAGAATTGAGTAAGGGGAAGAAGGAAAATGAAAGAGCTGGGAGGTAGCTACCTGGTCTGTACAGCTGCCTGGCCACCCACTTGGGACTTTCTGCCCTCACTGGGTCTGTCTGCCCCACTGTTCAAAGAGAAAAGGTTGAAAAGAGACCAACAGCCACTGCCCCTTCTCCCTCATGCCTCTCCCTAAAAATACCTGCCTCTAGCCTCCTCTCAATCATTTACTCCAACATTTCAAGATGCCTCTC